CCTTCCCCCTCTCCCTTTCTCCCCATCCCTCTTCTTCTCCTTTTCCCAGCTTGAGGTCCAGCAGGTGTGAGGGCCAATCCATGGACCAGTGCCTCCCACTTGCCCCCGCTTCTAGGCAGGAACCACAGAGCAGTGTGCAGGCACCAGGGCAGGTCTGGGAAAGGGGTTGTTTTTGTGGGGGGTCCATTGGAGAGTTGCTGCCACCTTCCCTTTTGGGTTTCTGGCAGGGTAAGATTTTTCGAAACAGGTCATCTGAAGTTCCTTTGGTGTCATGTAACCCAGTCCAGGGCTCTGAGTCTTGATCATGGTGTTTTTTTTGTTTTGTTTTGTTTTTTCGTTTTTTCCTTAAAGTCATGGCAAAAAGAGCAAAGGACACTTTCTTTAATCAGCCTGGGATCAGGAGTCCCCGGACCTTGGGCTTTAACTCTTCAGTTAATCATATCTCATAACCATTAATAATAAGGATGCTAAGTACTTGAACAAACACTGCCATTCACAGAGCCCGTTCATATTTTTTTCTTGTTTTCCCAAAGTCCTTGTGAGTGTCCTCTGTCCTGTGTCCCATACCGGGCTGCCTCAGATTCCAAGACACAGCCCAGCCCAGGGAGCAGCCTCCCCCACTGTTTCACAGGCGTTGGCACTAACTCTGGTATCGATAAGAAAAGTGACATTTATTGAGCACGTACACTTCATTGTAGTAGTAATGACAATTGCGAAGCTTTTTTAAGTGTTTACTGGAGTTGAGTGCCAGGAGTCATGGTGAGCACTTGGAACCCTGTCTAATGAGAGTTGGCAAGGATTCTGTAAAGAAGTTATTTTTATTATTCCTGTTTCACAGATGGGGAAACTGAGGTTAAGGGAGGTTAGGTAGTTTGTCCAAGAGCACACAGTTGCAAAGTGGCAGAGCGAGGATTTGTGCCAGGCCAGGGTAACTTGAAAGCAAAGATAGGTCCTCCTGCTAATGTGGGGAGCAGTGGGCTGAGCTTGCCCTGGGGGTCCACCTGTCCCCTTTCTGAGCCCTTTTCTATGCTTTTTAACACCAGCCCCTCCTTTAGACATCAAGGATTGACTAACTTTTTCTGTAAAAGGCCAAATAGTAAATATTTTAGGCTGGGGTGAGGGTTGGGGGTATAAGGTCTCTGTAAGAACCCTATGAAAGGGCAATGTTGTAGCCTAAACAAGATGTAGTAAGTGCAGAGAGCAGTTGAGGTGCAGTCACTCGTCTGCTGGAACCATCAGTGGCTGCCCATTGCCTGTAGTCTCCAGTTCAGACTCAGCCTGGATTCAAAGTCCTCCTCAGCCCGGCTCTTTCCAGTCTCTTCTCCCATGAAACTGCCCTTCTCCAGCTCTGGCAGTCCCTGAATGCTCTCTCCGGACCATTCTCACCTGTGTGTCTTTTATTCCTGCTGCTTTTCCCCTTTGAAATGTCCACCATGGTCCCTGTTTTACATTCCCAAGTAGCTCTCCTTCTTGCTGATGGGGGAAATTCCACCACGGGGAGGACTCTCAGGTTTTGGGTGACTAGGATATGTGTCAACTAAAAGAAGTCCAAATGTGTCCTTAGCATTGGCAGCTTGATGTGAGCAGGATCAGCGTAGAGAGGGTTGCCTGTGGCCAGGCAGGTTATTTGTGTCTGTGGCCACCAGGTGGGGGGCAGAGGTGCTGGTCATGGCCCCACACCTCCCACCCAGGCTGGCCAGCTGCTCAGAATTTATCAGCTGTTTACGTTTGGGTTGTTTATGTAAGTTTTTTAAAAATAGGATCAATAAATTACAAAGATCCACACGTAAGAGTGAGGCAAGTAGCTTCAATCAACTAAGATTATACCGTTAGCTACACAGCTAGGTAAAACACGGTGCCTTTCTGTCTAAGCCTGAACTTCATCTATCCCATTGTATAGCCTCAGACGCCTACATTGTCCCCCTGGTGTCTGATAGATTATTTTCGATGCCTTTTAAAAGTTTCACTTTCATGTGTTGATTTTGCCTCTTTCATTTTATATGTTTAATTATGATGTATTCTTAGTCTTGGTGATATTTCACCAGAATTTCTAAACTTAAATTCATCTTCTTGCCCATTCAAATCAGAGCAAATATTTTTTTCATTCTCTTTTCTAGAAAGTGAAAAATTCAGTATCATTGGCTTTCCTCCTCTTCACTCTCTCTTTTAAATTATTTTAGTCTAAGGGTTTGATTTTCCTCTTTTGTTCTCTAAACTTTCTCTTTTGCAAAATTTTTATTTTTTTGGTCTGCCTTAGCTTGTTTCGGTTCCAGGTGCACCAAGTAATCAGACCAGTGCTTCTCAAACTTGGGTGTGCGTCAGACTCCCCTGGAGGGCTGTTTATAACCAACCACTCAACCATGCCCCCAGGATTCTGATTCCGTAAGTTTAGGGTGGGGCCTGGGAACCGGCTTTTCTAACAAGTTCCCGCTGATCTGGGGAACCCCACTTTGAGAACCACTGAATTTGTTTCATAAACAACCACCCTCCTCCCTTTGGTGCGAGGACACATTGCGGACCAATAGCTCTATTCTGCATTGATGGTGGTATTAGCGTAAGAAATGTCCAGACCTGTAGCGACTTTTTATGAGTTCTTTTGAGTCAAACTGACTTGGAAGCAAAATCTCAACAGGTTGAGAAAGTGCTTTGGAAAATGGCAGTTTATTTCATACGTTAGCATCAAAGGAGGAGCCATAAGGGGGGTTACATGAAATCCATTGGTGGTAGATTAAGGGGGTGAGAGAGGTAAAGTAGGGAAATCTCTGGGATTGCATGAAAAGCAAAATGGAGAGACATATACTTATTTTACATTGGTGGGTACAGGATAGTTACATTTACAACACACACAGATGGTATTCAGAGATCAGTGTGGCAATGAGGGGTTCCCTGAGGGGGTCTGGGAAAGAACATTACTCCTATTTCAAAGGCATGTTATCTTAGTTACAAAAAGACAACACACAGGCTCACTTGAGGTAAAGATTAACCTTTGTCAAGGACGCTACAGGCCTATGATGTCACTGCCTGCCATAACCAGCTTTTAGGCAGGAATTTTTATGATCAGACCGTCCTATATAGTTCCTTTCAGTCTCTGAGTCTGTAAGGCCCGCCATGCAGGCCTCCCCTGAGCTTGTCAGGTTTCATCCATGGTGGCCTCTAGATCTCGAAACTCCAGCATTCCCATGAAAAATCCTTTCCTGGATTTAGCTTTTGAGTCCTGGAGGTATTTTTTGAAAACTTTTCCCAGAAGAGACGGAAGACCGGAGGATTTTCCCAGCCTTTGCAGTTGCTTCGCTCATGAGGATGTGGTTGTGAATAGGATCCTTGGGACTACGATTTTCCTTGGGACTACGATTTTCCTTGGGAATACGATTTTCCTTGGGAATACGATTTTCCTTGGGTTGCTGGAGGTGCTGCCGGTCCTTCTCTGTTGATGGGAGATGTCTGAAGTTTGCCTGATTTAAGTCCATTGAAAGAAACCCAGATTTTTCTCTCCTCCTACTACGTAGAAGTATTTAGGGTTAGGACTTCTCTTTCTCTTTGAAGGTTAAATTTGTGACATTTTTGATAAGTAATGTCATGAAGTTGATTGCTGATCACTAATTCTGCCTGAAACGCAGTAAGTCTTCAGGATAATGGCTTGTACACAGTGCCTCATTTAATTTTAGTGCCCCCCCCTTTTTTTGGTAAAAGTTCATTGTCATGTCAAAGCAGTGCTCTTAGGGGCATCTTCACAGATAGCATCCACTTTCTGGCCACCACGCCCTTGCCTGTGTCATTCCCTCCTCCCTGCCCAGCCTGGAGCATTCATGAGCATCCTTCAGGCCTCAGCTCCAACGCCGGCTTCTCGGGGGCCCACTGTGGTTCACTCCTGGAGAGCTGCATCCCTCCTCAGTGCACCCACCTCATGGTGCCACTCATTTTATTTTTGTGTTCCCAGTGCCTAGCCTGGTGCCTGGCACATGGCTGTGGTGGCAGCCAGCAATGTACTGGGCACTTAACTATGTTCTGGGCACTCATTAATCCTTACAGCATTCCTGTGGGGTTTGTGTACGCTTGTCCCCACTTAGAGATTAGGAAACAGAAGTTTGGGAGGAGTTAAAATCATTTGTCCCCGATGGGGCTAGAATACAAACAAGGTCTGGCAGCTTCCAGACTGCGCTCTTGGACTCTGAGCTGTAGGCACTCACACCTACTGGGTTAGTGGTGAGCCACAGGAGGCTGTGGGGCAGCGCCTGCTGGTGGAAGCAGGCAGTGGGAAGTGTTTGATGAGAGAATGACCTGGAGCCTTCCAGGGCTGGCTGAGCCTGGGAGGGCTTGGGGTGGGGCAGGGGGAGGGGGGGCAGTCTGAGTGCACAACCAGAGCAAGGATGTGGAAGGAAGACAGATTTTGTCTCTTTATTATATTTTTTTGTTAATCCTTACCCAAGGATATTTTTTCCATTGATTTTTTTGTTTTTTTTCTTTCTTTTTTTTCTTTTTTTTTTTTAGAGAGAGTGGAAGGGAGCGGGGGAGACATAGAGAGAGAAATATGGATTGGTTGCCTCCCGCATACGCCCGACCAGGGCTGGGGAGCCTGCAACCGAGATACATGCCCTTGCTTGGAATTGAATCTGAGACCCTTTAGTCCTCGGGCTGATGTTCTAACCACTGAGAAAACTGGCTAGGGCCAGAGGATATTTTTTTCCATTGATTTTTAGAGAATGGACGGGAGGGAGGAAGAGAGAGAGAAAGAGAGAGAACCATTGATGTGAGAGAGACACATCGGGATTGAACCCGCAACCTAGGTACGTGCCCTTGACCGGGATTCGAACCTGTGACCCTTCTAATGGGCCAACATTCTAACCACTGAGCATACCAGCCAGGGCCAGACTTTGTCTGTTTAGTACTCTGTCTGTGGCCCAGCTCCTGGTACCAGAAGAAAGCTGCTCTCAGGAAACCGTGGTTAGCACTCCAGTCCTGATGCCTTGTTCTCTTTCTCTCTGCACCCCCAACCCCTGCAGCCTCGGCTTTCATCATCGCCATGCTCCTGGCCAGCCTCAACAGCTGCTGCAACCCCTGGATCTACATGCTCTTCACAGGCCACCTCTTCCACGAGCTCCTGCAGCGCGTCCTCTGTTGCTCCTCCAGCTACCGGAGGGGCTCTCGGCCTGGGGAGACAAGCGTGAGCAAAAAGAGCAACTCCTCCACCTTTGTCCTGAGCCGGCACAGCTCCAGCCAGAGGAGCACCTCACAGCTCTCCTCCCTGTGACCAGCCTGGCTGGCTGCCTCTTTCCATCAGGTTGTGTGGTGGCTGTGGCCATTGATGTATAGGTACCTTTCCGTTTGTACACCTCCGCACCTTGGGGCAGCTTGCATGGGGTGGGGTCCTGACACAGGAGGGGAAGTGGTCTGCTCAGGGGAAGGTGATAGGGTGACTCAGTCACCAGACTGTCCTGGGAGCCCCCCTGGTTCCCACAGCTACTCCTGCTGCCCCCACCCCACTGCTGCCTGGCTGCTGGGCGGGTTGTTTGTGTTTCCCGGGCCTGTACTTTCACTCCAGTATCTCTTTTCTCCTTTACTCTGTGATCTTGTGAAAAGTAGTAAGTGTACAGTTGGTGACCAATTATATATGTAAGCCTAGTGTCCTGAACTTGGAGTAAGGAGTGGGAGCAGGACCGCAGATGGGGTGATGGTGCTCATAGCCTCCTGACCCAAGAGAGTGTGTGCCTCTGCGTGGCTGACCCAGCATCCTCTTGTCAGAGGATGGCCCTGGGAACAGGAGATTCCCCTACGAGGCAATTTGGCACAAGCAGCCGATTAAAACTTGGATTTGAAATGTTTAACAAGCTAATATTTAAGTAGCAAGTGGGAAAGAAAGAAGTAAAAGGGATCCAAATTAGAAAATAAGTAAATCTCTTTGTAGATGACATGATATTTTATTCATAGAAAATTCTAAGGAATTTGTACACATACACACACACCCATTAAAATTAATGAGTTCAGCAAAATTTCAGAGTACAAGGTCATTATACAAAAATCAATTGTATTTCTTCTTTTCTTTTCTTTTTCTTTTTTTTGCTGGGTACAGTGAATATTATTGATGGTACATCACAAGGTAGGGCTCCCTAAGCCCCTCCCCTTCTTCAGGGGGTCTGGGTGGAAACTGTGGAGGTCAGGAGATTCTCAGTGTGCTGGGGGATCGATTTCGGGGTAAGGACTCCCCAGCAGCTGAGGGCCTGTCTTCCTCTCGCTGGGGCTGGTGGTCCAGGGGGTTCTGACTCCTTGGAGGCCATGTGGGCCATAAGCCCACCACCTGTTGCTGTAGCCAAATTCATTGTCATAGCAGGAAACGAACTTGATGAAGTGGTCATTGAGGGCAGTGCCAGCCCAGCATCGAAGATGGAGGAGTGGGTGTCACTGTTAAAGTCGCAGGAGACAACCTGGTCCTCAGTGTAGCCCAGGCTGCCCTTGAGGCGCCCTCTGATGCTTGCCTCACTACCTGCTTGATGTCATTGTATTTCTTTATACTAGCAATGAACAATATGCCAATAAAATTAAATAATTAAATTTATCATAGTATGAGAAAGGATACAAAATAGAAATAAATTCAATGAAAGAAATATAAGACTTATACCCTGGAAACTACAGGATGTCATTGAAAGAAATTGAAGAAGACAAATAAATTGAGAGACATCCTTTGTCCTGGGTCTTAACAATACTATCCAAATTGGTCTACAGATTTAATGTTATTCCTCTCAAAATCCTAGCTGGCTCTTTGCATAAATTGATAAACTGATCCTGAAATTCATATGAAAATGTTAGGAATCCCAAATAACCAAATAAACCTTGAAAAGAAGAGAAAATCACTTCTTGCTTTCAAACGTACTAGAAAGCTACAGTAATCAGAACAGTCTGGTCCTGGCATAATGACAGACACATTGACCAATGGAGTAGAACAGAGAATACAGATATAAATACTTAGATTTATGGTCAGTTGATTTTTGACAAGTGTGACAAGAGAATTTAATAGGAATGATAGTCTTTTCAAAAAACAGTGCTGGGACAACTGGCTATCCACATGCAAGTAAATGAAGTTGGACCCCTACCTCACACTCTATATAAAAATTAACTCAAAATGCATTAAAGACCTAAACGTAAGAGTTAAAACTACAAAACTCTTAGAAAAAACATAGGCATCAATCTTTGTGACCTTGGATCAGGCAATGGTTTTTTAGATAAGACACCCAAAGCACAAGGAAAGGAGAATTAGCTAAACTGGACCTCATAAAAACGGGCACAAAAGGTTTATGCTTCAAAGGACACTATCAAGAAAGTGAAAAGACAGCTTGCTCACGGAATGAAAGAAAGGAAATATTTGCAAAATCATATACTTGTATCCAGAATACATCAAGAACTCTTACAACTTAATAATAAAAAGACAAATAAGCCAATGTCAAATATGGGCAAAACATGTATTTGAATTAACAAGTGAATAGACATTTTTATATCTTCTCCAAAGAAAATAATATAACTGCCAGTAAGTGCATGAAAGGATGCTCAGGATTATTATTCATTAGGGAAATGCAAATCAAAACCACAGTGAAATACACTTCATCCCCACTATGATGGCTGTAATCATAGAGATGGGCAAGGATGTAAAGAAATTGGAATGCTTGTACATTGCTTGTGGTAAGAATGTAAAATAGTGCAGCCACTTTGGAAAATAATTTGGCAATTCTTCAAAAAGTTAAAACACCAGAAATGCCACTCCTAGGTATTTACTTAAGCGAGATTAAAGCATACACACAAAAACTGGTACATAAATGTTCATGGCACCATAATTTATAATAGCCAACAAATGGAAATAACCCAAATATCTATCAACTGATGAATGGATAAACAATGTATATCTCTATAATGACATGTTATTCAGAATAAAAAGAAATGAAGTACTGATACATACTATAATATGGATGAACCTTGAAAACATTATACTAAATGATAGAAGCCATTGCAAAAAGCCATATACTATATAATTCCATTTATGTGAAATATCCAGAAGAGGCCAGGAGCTGGACACTGGGGTGAACGGGGAGTGACTGCTAATAGATATAATGTTCCTTTTACTGGGTGGTGAAAATGTTCTGGGATTAGTAGTGATGTTGTACAATTTTGAGAATATTCTAAAAACCACTGAATTAAACACTTAAAAATATAAAAAATAAACAAAAATTTTCACCAGCTCAATTCAGCTTGAAGGATGAATTCCTTGGAATCTCTTACCTCCCAGCACTTTGTTTCTCTATGTGACTCACCATTTCGGGAAATCCCATGGTTTTCGTACTTAGTTTTTCTGCAGGAGTTGGTGTTTCCAGTTTGGCCAAAGGACCAGCAGTGACGAGACGCCCACCCTGCTCTAGCAGGGCACTGGGAGGCCTTGTGGCTGCAGCTGTTATATTTTATTTAGGAAGACAACTCACAGGGCTCTCAAAGGCTTTCCTAACATGTTCTCAAATGTCCTCTCAGCCTTGAGGTAGAACATAACGGTGTCCAAAAAGTACCTACAAGTTGTTAAATACGTTATAGATCAGAGGTTTCTGACTGAGGCTGCCCAGCTCAAAGGCACTCGGGGGCACTGTGAATTTTTAAAATTTCCACAGATATTTTTGGACTCACTGTGGTACAGTAAGAGCATTTCCAAAAGGCTACTCTTCATACACACTTTCCTCTTCCCCCTTCACACTGCAATCTACACACACATGCACAGGGAGAAGAGAGACAGGCCCTGACATGCCAGTGTTCAAGTGTCAGCATTTAGTTCCAGGTCTGCAGTACGAACTAGAGAAGGAAGACAGTAAGCATCACCTTTGGACCCAGAGGCATTGCACAGTGTTGATGTGGCTGCACTCAGAGTGTCAACTTGCTCTGTGGGAAGCAAGCAGGATGCTGGTTCAGAGTCTCGGTGCTTATGGACAGGACCCCGGGGCACTGGTTGCATGTGCAGCAAAGGTGGGGTCTGTTGGCATTTGAGCCTCTCTGCTCACCAGCCAGAGATGCCCCCATCTCTGCTGTTCCCAGGGAAGTGGTCGTCCCAGCAGCCTACAAAGCCACTGGGGATCAAGGAGACTGACTCAGTATATTATTCTGACTGGGGCACAGCCTTCCTGTGAACCCTGGAGTTGCAAGATTCTTGGGCACCAGAACCAACTGGGACACTTCCCTAGTTCTGTGTAAGCTCTGGATGGTTCCTTGGGTCTCATATGGCACAGGCACTGTGTTTTGTAGCAAATCAGTAACATCTGATTTTAGCAGCACCCCTGGCTGTACACGTCTCCTTCCCAGGCTCATCTTGGAGAATATGTTCACTGTTTCTTAGCCTTTCCCCAACGGAAGCTTGGAGGGAAGAGCATGGGGTCCAGAATGCTACCTGCAGCTCAGTCATTTCCTTTCTCCAGTTTACAAACACAGCGTGTGGCTGGAGGTGCCAGCAGATTGGAGCACACAGATTTTCTTCTGGAATGTGCCATTGTTCTGATGGTCAGACGTGGAAGGTGAATACTTGAAGACTCTGAGCCTTATTTCTTTCGGCCCTGAAAAAAAAATCTGTCACACAATTGGTGTCCTCTCAGGATGGGTCTATGGATTGAGACTGCAGGAAGCTGCCTTTTTAAATGAAGATCCTGGTTTCAAAGTGCTTAACCTTTTTGAATTTAATTGCAATGAAATATCACTTAGTACAAAATGTGAATTACTTGATTTTGTTCTGCTATGGTGGCTCTCGTGTATTGTGTCAAATGGTGAGTGGTGTGGCCAGCAATGAGATGTCTGCTTCATTCGCTGCTTTAAAAAAGGTGCATCTAATAAACTTGTTTTTTTCATACATTGTTTTGTCCTCTTTCTCCCAAGAACAATGACCATATCTGGTGCTTGCACACTTGAATTCCCTTGTGGAACTGCATGCTTACCTGCCTGATCATCACAGAGGTGCATCTGGGCTGTGGCGGGCGAGGGGGTGTGTGTGGGGGGTCCTGGTCCCCTCGTCCTTGGGCACAGGTCCTCTCATGAATCAGAATTCTCAGAAAACATTCTACATCCCAGAAGCATACCTCTTGTATGATGTAGCCACCTCCACTGTGTGCCACAGTCTAATAGGATTCTAGATTGTCACCTTGAAGGGACCCTAGCAAGTGTTTCTTCAAGTGGGATATAGGGGCCACCTGTGAAGTCACAAATGGGTCTGCGTTCATTCCTGGCACCACTACTGAGGCACACGCTGGAGCTGGGCCCTAAACCTTCATTTTAACCAAGAGTGCCTCATTCCCTGGGTGCAGGATACAAGAGGGAGTGGATCTCCACCTCCCTCCTCTGGCCCATTCGCATCACCCACCACTCCCCGGGGTGCAGTTCCGTGTCCTGCTTCTCAAGGGATTCCTGGAAGGAACAGAACTCCTGAGACATACATGCATCCAAGGGGGTGTCCTTTCTCCAGTTCCATGAACTTCACAGGTAATCGAGCACCTGCCATACTCTGCCCCCAGCGAAAGAGCGCGAACTTGAAAAATTGGAGTCCTAGTCAAATCAGGTTTCAGCAAATGCCAAGAGGGTGACAAATCTCTGCGTAACCCAAGATCCCAAGTGTGAAACTACGGCCTCATGATTTCAAGAGGTGTTGGAAGGGCAGGCCCCTGGAGGAGGAAGCCAGAAATACTGGCTTCAGTATTTCTCACCAGGAGGAGCCTGGGCTGCCGTGTCCGCGTGAGAATGTGCAGAGCCTCGTAGAGCCGAGAGGCGTGGGCTGGGAGCGCAGAGCGGATGCTGGCTACTGTGCACCTCTCGGCAAGTCTCCTGACCTCTTTGGGCTGTAACTTTCTCATTTGGAAAAAACTAAGGGATTGGTTATGTGTTTAAGAGCAAAATATATTGGTATCTGCAGCTTATTTAAAAATGCACAGAGAAAGATGGGATTGGTGGACAGAGAGAGAAGTGACAAAACAGGAGTAAAATGCTCGTGTGGAGCCTAGGTGGTGGGTGTGTAGTTGTTCACCACAAACCTTTCAGCTTTTCCTCTGTGTTTGAAAACTTCAAAAGACACTAGAAAAAACAAAAATGGGTAAAATTTTAGAGCTGAAATGGGCGTCAGAGATCATTTTGTGGATGACAAAATTGAGGCCAGAGAAGGCAACTAGGAGAGAGGCAGGACTAGAAGGAGGCTGCCTGCGCCCTGTCTCCCAGTTCACGTGTGGTCCATCCCACCACGCTGCCCCACTGACCCATTGGTTCATGGCCAGGCACCAATGAGGTGATGCCTTTGAAAACTTGGAAAGTGCGGTGAAACCTTAATTTTATGAGCCTTAAATGAGTCTTATTGCATTAAAAAGTCAAATAGGATTGGGGGATACGGGCCTAACCAATTTCTTTTCTGCAGGACTTCTCAGAGCTTTTAATGTGTCAGTGTCTATTGAAAATCTTTTAAGAGAAATATATAGCATTTCCCAAACAAATTTAACAACAGAAGCCATCCCCTCTTTTTTGGGGGGACTAAGTTCTAGATAACACAGTTGGGAAAAGCATCCCTAAAGACTGTAAGATTGCTGGCTTTTATTGGGGGAGTTGTAGGGGGGTTGAGGAGGAGGTGAGACATGCCTTTTCTATTGCTGCTTATTTACACCGTGAGTCCACACGTGCACACATTAGACCTTATACCAGTGATGGCGAACCTATGACACGCGTGTCAGAGGTGACACGCGAACTCATTTTTTTTTTGGTTGATTTTTCTTTGTTAAATGGCATTTAAATATATAAAATAAATATCAAAAATATAAGTCTTTGTTTTACTATGGTTGCAAATATCAAAAAATTTCTATATGTGACACGGTACCAGAGTTAAGTAGGGTTTTTCAAAATGCTGATATGCCGAGCTCAAAAGGTTCGCCATCACTGCCTTATACTCTCATCACACCTCTCAGGGCTGAAGGTGTGCATGTGCCAACTGACAATGCCAGGGGATCCGTGTCTGGGGAGCCACAGGGAAGGTTCCGAGCGGGTTGACCCCAGGCCCTCGCCTCAGTGGTGCCAGAGAGGGCCCCCCACCCCTTCCATCCAGGGGCCATTTTCTTCTGTTGTTGACCTCTAGCTGGCCTGGGAGGAACAGAGTCAGTGTGAACTAATCCAAGGAACATTGGGGAGCAGATGCCCAGCTACCAAGAAGAATCCCAATAGAAACCTAACTCTGCCCTGGTTGTTGGGTTTGGACAAGAGGAAGGGCCAAACAGCTTGTTCCCTGTCGGTTTCTCAGGGCAGCGAAATCTGTTTTAGGAGCTGATCAGAACACACACGCACCTTACAGACCCTCACAGAACACAGCATTCTCCGAATGCAGCCAGAACCCTTTATTGGAGCCACCCCCCAATGCCCACAGTCCCTGGTGGCTTCCTGGGTGGCGCATGTGGACAGGTCGACCCTGGGTGGGAACAGTGTGCTGGTTTGTGCTGTTACAGTACATGTGATCGCAAAGACTTGCAGTAGCTGCCTCTTAGCAAAGGATCTTCCCACGTGCCCGGTCACGGGGGCATCATGGAGGGACGGGGGCAGCGTGGAAGGCCACTGTGCTTCTGGGGTAGGGCTCTCTTTTTGTTCTGGTTTCTCTAGACTCAGTGCTCCCATCCTGGGGGGAATAGCAGTCCTTACAGAGCAAGAGCGCGCCAGCAGTCCCCGGGGAGCAGTTCCGTGGGGCCAGCCTGGCCTAACTCCCCTGCCCGGCCACACCCCTCGCTTCACCTGGCTTTACACTTCCTTCCGCAGCAACACCTTGATGCTGCTGCACATCTGGCCCAGGGCGGCGAAGAGCGGGTTGCAGAAGGTGCGGATGCAGAGCGAGTAGATGTGGCTGATGCACTGGATCTCGATCAGGTAGCTCTTGATACACGGCACCACCGCCCAGATGTGGCAGAAGGAGATGCAGGCGAACAGGAAGCCCCAGAGCAGGGCCAGCGGCACGCCCAGCAGCGTGGACAGCAGGCGGTAGCACCAGTACTTGGAGACGGTGAAGGTGGTGTAGCTCACCTTCCACACGCCGTCGAAGCTGTAGGTGCCCACGGGCTCCGCGATCACGTCCTCGAAGTCCACCTGTGGGGGCAGGAAGGCGATCCTCAGTCACGGCACCCACCCGTTTCTCAAGCTTCGGTGTGTGAGCATCAGACCGCCCTGGAGGGCTCCTGACCCCGCAGGTCCCCATGGGGACTTGACCCCTTACCTTACAGGTGGGTAAGCAGGCCCGAGGAGCTGAGGGACTTGCTTCAAGCCAAAGGTAAGTTGGAGGCAGGCCTAGAGGCATGGCTCTCAAATTCTATTATTTTATGATCCTAGGGAGTTGGACAGTCATAGTCATGCTGGAAAGATTTAGGGGTGCCTGCTGATAAGATGGTGGGCAGCAAAGGTTCCAGTGGACCCAGAGCTCATGGCGGGCAGTTGTACCACCGTGATAAGTGCTCGGGTAAGGGAAGGGAAGGGGCTGTGTGCACCCACAGGAGGACATTGAACTCAGCCTGGGGAAGGGAAGGCTTCCTAGAGGAAGAGACATCTATCTAGGCTGATAGCTGAAGGTAGCCAGGTGGAGGGAGGGATTGTGGGCTGAGAAAGAGAGTTTGGGGCAGAAGGAGCAGTGATTGCTGGGAGCGAGGAGCTGGTGGGACAGTGTGTGCTCTCAGGGAGATGCAGGTGCTTCCCAAAGTCCAAGCCTAGACGACAGGAGTGAGGCTGGAGAGGCAGGCAGGACAGACGTCCGTGCGATGAGCAGCCTCAGAAGGCTCTGTGCAGGGAGCAGCTCGCTCGCACACAGGGTGGGGTGGTGGGGAAGATGCATGTGAGACGAGCTGGGCGTGCTGGAGAATCCAGGCAGGACCTGGCGCCTGGTTCGGGTGGTGGGGATGAGTTAGAGGTGCACAGGTCTGAGAGCTATTCTAGGATCTGGCATGTGGCACAGTGAGGCATGCCGTTCCGGCTAGTGAGGGAGGCTGGTATCTGAGAGGGGCCGAGCCTGCTGACAAGCACCTTGAGGAGAAGGCAGATTGTCTCCTTGACCCATTCCTGCAGGGGCCTCAGATGTCCTGCCCCCATTGCCCACAACGTCCCTCTGTGCAGCTGGAACATGGGTGCCCAGAGAACCCAATCCACACAGCCTCCTGAAGGGTGACTCAGGCCCCTTGAGGGAAGTGGGAAGATAATCTGTGGACTTAGAAAATGGTAGCTTCCAGCTAAGCCACTTAACTAGCCTTTCTTGAGTCCCTGCTGTGCATTAAGCTCTGTTCCAGCTGCTTTCTCATATGTGATGCCATTTAGTGTCACTAAACTTTAGCTGTCTTGTCTGTAAAACGGGGTAGTGACCACCTCGGGCCATTTTAATAAAGTTGGTTGAGTGAAGGCACAGACTAATCAGACTAATGGGAGGGGTCCCCGGTGGGGGCTGTTGGGGCCTGAGCTCAAAGTTCAGTCTTCCAGGGTGGGCCCGCTCCCCACTTTTTTTGCGGGGGGGAGGAGGATTCTCTCCTCTATGCACAATGGTGTTATTACAGTTAGTTTCCATTATAAAATAACATAGCCACGTTGCAGAAAATTAAGGCAATAGCAAAAACAAAACAAAACAAAAACCATCTCCAATTTGTATTTCTCTGGCACTAAAAATATTATTGCTTTGGTGCTATTCTTCCTAGTGTAACTTTTTCGGGGGAGGGAGTGGGCTTAACCGCGTTGTACGTTCAAGGTTGAGTCCTGTTTTTCTCGTATGACTGGATTCTGGGCTCCTGCACCATGTCTTCGATCTCTGGGTCCCCGGGGACAGCTCTGGCGGAGGCTCCACGTATGGAGGCATGTTAGCAGGGAGCAAAGTGTAGAGGGTGAGATTTCAGGCAGCAGTTCAATCTGGAAAAGCTGACTAGGGAATCAGAAGGGCCTGCCCTGACCCTCCTGTAAATTTTGCCCCCGGCCCTCTCTGCCTAATGAAGCCCCCTGTATAGAAGGGGAAGAGCATGCATATGGCCCTCACTTCCTGGAAGGATGGCACTTCTTCCTGGAGGGCTTCCAGGAGGTGGTGGCTGGCTGGGAATTTGGGGGGCTGTGGGGTTTGGAGGCAGAGATGGAAAAGTGGTGTGCTGGATATTTGGAAAAGAAAGCCCAAGTTGGTTGGAGAACGTCTCATGGCTTTGAAGAGTGGATGAGAAGTGCTGGCATCTACATCTGGTTTATATGGGCCAAAAATCCAGTTGCTGCTCCTTAGGGGAGCTTTCAAACCCAAGGAGCTGGGGAGTAGAGGCCTGGGGGACCATTCCAGCCTTGCCCTGGGTTCTCCCACCATGGCTATCGAGGGGCAGCCAAACTCATGGGCCCTGGAACCTGCTGCCTGCCCCTCCTCTGCTGTGGCCAATGCCCAGTCCATGCCCCATGCCTGTTAGTGCCAGGCTGGCCGCTGGAGCATGCTGCGGCCCCAGGAACTTTGCCAGCAGAGGGAGGCATTTGGGCACAGACATGCCTCCCTGCCTGTGTCCCCACCAGCCCTCCTTCTTTCCCTCTCCCACTGAGCACCTGTGGCCTCTCCAGCCTTCTTGTGGCTGCTCCTTAGGAGATTACCCAGCCCTGCCTCTCCCCTCCCAGGGCAGCAGACAGGCCAGAGGAGGCAGGGCCCAGGCTGAATCTAGGCGTCCTGATTCTAATCTGAGCACTTCACACTGCCCCAGCCAGGGTCAGACCCCGGGGTAGATGCTGGTTTCGGGGAGGGTGACTGTCCCTCTGAGGTCTGGTCCTTGTCAGTAAAGACCTGCCCAAGGCAGCGCCCTGGGCCCGTTCTTCTTCCACTCCCTACCTTGCTCCCAGCAGTCAGCAAGGCCCCGGCCCCCCTGCAGCCCAGCCCGATTTGTTCACTTATCCCAGCATATTCCTCCAGGCGACACATTTGATTGTTTGTGTCTGGCCTCTAAGAGGCAGCAGAGTGGGAAGAGCCATGACTGATGAAGTCACACTGCTAAGGTTTGATTGAGTCCAGCTCTGCTCCTTATGGCTCTGTGACCTTCAGCAAGTGGCGTAGCTTTTCGTTGCCTCATTTTCCTAGGCTTACGAAGCTTATTGGAGGATTCAGTACGTTAAAAGATGTAAATACTGAGCATTGCCTGGCACCGAACACTGATTAGGAACTGTTAGCTGTTGGTGGTTGTCACAGCGTGCTTTCAACAGGAGACGAGAGTCCCAAATCTGGGTGTGCACACCAGGGTAGTTGCTGGTCTGATGAGTGACTTTGGCAACTTAACCTCTTTGAACTTCATTTTCTCATCGTAAAATGGGTTTACTACTTCTTACAACCTTGTTATGAGGAATAGAAATAATTTCTCATCCATCCATTCAACTCAACCAGTATTTATTCAACATCCGCTCTGTGCCGGGCACACCGCCTCTTGGCCAGTGCTTAGCACGACACCTGGCACGTGGCAGGTGCTAGTGATAGTCATTATTTGTTCAGCTGCTCGGAAGTTCCTATGAAAATATATTTAAGGGAATCTGTTGACACCCCAGATCATAAGTGCACTTCTTCAGCCTACTTAGCCATAAAAGTGTGTGTGTGTATATGTGTGTATGTGTGTGTTTATGTGTGTATGTGTGTATGTGTGTGTGTATGTGTGTGTATATGTGTGTATGTGTATGTTTATATGTGTATGTGGTGTGTATGTGTGTGGATGTACACACATCACCTGTACGCACACACCTCAGCCTGTGCTGATAAAATGGACGGGTCCTCTTTTCCCTCATCTCCTACTTACAGTAATAATCCTACCTCCAAGGATCTCTCTGTTGTGTCTTTTAATTATCATTCATTTTGTTGCAGAAGCCGTTGGTGCTGACATTTGTATTTTCAGTAATTGCCCTTGGGCACTATGCATGGGGCAACTGATCTGTGAATCAGAAAATGTGCCCTGAGAGGGATGGGCTGGGCTGGGAGGAGGCAGCTGTTCCCCTCACTGGGATTAAGCATGGAGATAGCGTGCTAGTTTGGGGAGGTATTTATAAGACCCGGCTCAGGCAGCTCTAGGCAGTCATGCCAGTGTATCAGAAGCACACGGTGACTTCATTTCTTAATCCGTTTTTCAGAAGCTGGAGGGGAGATGGCTGTTTGGGGAGGGTGGTGGGGCGGGGGCTGGATCCATGGGCAGCTCAGTGGGCAGCTGGAGGGAGGGGCTGGCGGTGGAGGCGGAGAATGTGGCTGCTCGTTCAGTTGGTGCCCCCTTCTCTGGCATATTTATTTTTGGAACAGCAAGAGGGCCAGTTGATTAATCGGAACCAGCCAGCGCAGCCCCCGCAGTCTCAGAGGGCAGGGAGGGTGCCAGGCAGCAGGACCAGGCGCTGCTGGAGGATGCGGGGGAGGCCAGCAGCCACCTCCTGTCAAAAATACCTCCCCCACATGCCCACATGATTCAGTCCCTGGGCATCCAGGGCCCTGGACACTCTGGATAGGGTATTTGGGGAATAGCTCTAGGCAGGAGGGTAGACGCCTGGTCCCCGCCTCCACTTGACCACTGAGCGACCACTGTGTGATTTGGGGCCTGGTGCTTTCCCGCTCGGGCCTCTGGGACTTTTTGTTTTTATTTTTTAACTCTATCAGAGGATTAGGTCAAGACCCTTATAACATAGACTTAGTTTTGGAGTCAGAAGACCCAGGGGGTGGCTTAGCTTTGCTGGGTCGCAGTTTGTTCGCTTATTACCTTGCTCCATAAAGGGTGGTCCTCAGTCAGTGCCTGTCCACGCCAGGCAGGTGCAGAAGTGGAGAGAGAGCATTTAGAAATATTCACAGCCTTTTGACCCAGTAGTTTTATGTCTGTTGACTCTAATCATACTAAAAATTGGAGCTTACATTGTGGATGCCTTTTATTGATTTGATTTCTCTAGTAATTAGTTTTTATTACATTTTACAAAAGTATTGGTGTATAAACAGATTGGAAAAATAGTAATAAAAGGGACCCTCTACTGAGATAGTTTGAGAAACACCGGCCTAGAAAGTAGGAAGCTAACATGAGGTGATTGCAGCAAAACAGTTGAAAAACAGCAAAGCTTTGCTTTTTGTGTAATTGGTAATAACGTTAATATAA